AGCTCAGAACTGTCTCTGTATTTTGTGGCTGCAGGAATTAACAGATGTTGACGACTAATCTGAGAGCAGGAACATTAAAAGAGATGGCTCTACCATTACTAGTTCTTGTCATGTATGTACATGGTTTCTCATCATCCAAGTGTCTACATCAATGGTTTCTTCTGATGTAGCAACGTTGGTGGGCTTCTCTTTCCCATCCTTCCCACAGGCAGTTACTCTTAGTTGTACTGTACCTATCTTCAATAACAAAAATTACTGCTATCTGACAACACCCCTCTGAACAAGAAAGCATAACTTTAGCACCAGATCCTGGCAGCAAGAAAATCCTATGGCGTGAGGCACAGGATCCCAATGAGCACTCACAGGTCCATGCAGAGTAAGCGATGCCAGTGACTGGTGCACATCATTGCTCCTACTTCTCTTCCCAAAGCTCTGAAGCACAGCATAAAGCCTGGCAGAGGTCTTGTAAATAGGAACACAGCTGCATACCAGAACTCTTTCTTTGCACAGCATGGGCCACACACATGAGATAGGCTATGAATAAGTTCAAGATGTATGCAAAGGCAAAGCTGGCTACTCTACTCCTAAGATGCAAACTATAATAGTATTAACATCTCCAAGTGTCAAACCTGCAAGCAGAAACCAGTACGAAACTATTGTATTGACAGAGGTCAGAAGTAGAGGGAGGAAAGAAAAGGCAGCAATAACAGAAATTCATGCCAAGATCTTAGACAGAAAGCATCAAACCCACAAAGAGGCTCCTAGGAGAACTTGGAATCTCAGAACTGCAGACCAGCTTTGCTCTGTTGCTAGACTTTTGGGGGGCCAAAATACTGATACTGAACAAGGCTATCTCCCAGATAGCCAGAGATGCGGCAGAGTGACATCTCTCACCTGAAAGATTTTCACTTCACTCATTGCTGTGAGCCTGGAGTAGATCCAAAGGGCACCAGAGCAGCCATAAGTGGTTCTTTTTTGTTGTTTGCTTTTTTTTTTGTTTGCTTGTTTTTTTGCTTTGTTTTTTGCTTTCCCCACAACACTGAAGCACCCGACGGGATGCTGAGTTTATTTTCCATCAGCATGTAGACAGAAGGTGGTGGAGTGCCTGCCTGGGTAGGTGGCTCTGGCAGAATCCCTGGGGTTGCTTTACTACAGCTGTTGCCTGGTAGACCTTGGGTAGCATGACACCACAGCACATCAAATCCAACTGCTCAGCAGCAAGCCATGCAGGTACAGCAGCCAAAATGCCCTGGCAGAGCCTTATCAGCACAGCTAACACTGGCTGCCCAGTCCCAGAACAGAATTCAACTTTCAAAATATTTTGAGCAGCTCTTTATCAAACAAAGTGGCTTTACACAAGCTCAACATTTTGCCTGTTTATAATCTGTTCCCCCGAAATTAGATTGACAACTTAGCTGAACCACAGCCTGGAACAGCGATGATGATCTGTCCATTGGCACAGGATCCATCCAGACTGAGATCAGCAAGTTGCATAAATCCGCATTTGATAATAAGCATGTTCCTAATGCTACTGAAGCCAGTGGCACTGAGTACTTGCTAAACACTGAGTGCCTCTTCTACTGATTGATCAAAACAGAACCTCAAAATACAGATTAGGAGTTGGACTTGAAAATCCTCATGGGTCCCATCCATCACAGGATTTTCTACGATTCTAGATCTTGCTGGCCTTGTGCAACTTGCAGGTGCTTTCAGTATCAGCACTCTGTTGTAAGGTTCACAGTGAAATACTAGCTCTCCTTACCTTGAGAGACTTCAGTCCAGCAGCCACCAGATGTGAGCTCTGTCACAAACTGAATGAGATCAAGTACCCACAAGCATCCTTCTCATTGTGGCTGCAGTCCTCCTTCCCTCTCCAATGAAAATGACTTTCTGAGCACAGCTACTGGTGTGAGTGTGTGTGTGTGTGTGTGTGCTGGACTCAAGGGAAATGCTGAAAACTCAAAGTCTGCCATAAAGACACAGTCAATAGTGATCTTGCTCTGGATTGCTCCAAGTGTAACATCACCACTTCATAAAAAGAGTAACCACTATGTGGGCTATTTCTAGGTAATACTACAATTTACACAGAACCTCTGTGACCACTTAGCTCGAGTCCATACAGAAAAGATAACAAAAATTACTCAGAGATTCAGGGTAAACAAATGATGTTCTATGATATCTTTCTCCATGGGGGCCATGCTAAGCCCTCAACAGGTAGAAAAATGCTTCCAGGAAGCACCTCCACAGAAGCAACTGGGAGTCCTGGGGGAGCTCATCCCTTGCCCCGAAAACAGAGAATGACTCAGATGAAAGTTAACAGCCTTCACTGCTGGTGGCAAGGAGCAAGAAGTTGGCTACTGATCCAGCAATTTGCAAGGACAGTCAAGAAAGTTAGTTTCATTAGCTTACAGGTACTGGTTATTGTTAGGTACTGATTCTTTTCTTGTTACTATTTAAATGAACAGCCATCAAATGCATAAGAAAGCATTTTGTGATAAACATCCCAGCATCACGGCAACCGCCTCCAAGCACAGGACAATTGAATTGGTTAATTGAGGAAAGTGTTCCAAGTGTCCAAGCCTCTAGGATGTCCACCTACCACAAAAAAAGACAGTTCTCCTCCCTGAATGTGCATCTTGTTCTCATCAGTGCAACACTGCAAGGCTGTTAGGTACAGCTTCATCTCCTACTGCTTCCTATACCTCAAATCACTGTGCACTGAAATAATGAGGGGGAAAAAAGTTAAAAAAACATGATGTTTCTCAACCTACACTTTCTTTATAATTTCCAGAAGAGGTATAACCGGAGGCAAGATAGTGGAGAACCAGGCCCTCAAACCAAGGAGAAGAGAAAAATGCAGCAATCGTACTATGACAACAAAACAGACAGAATTTTCTGGTTTTACCATTATATTGAACACTAAGTGATTCAAGTGAACTTGATCTCCCCTCATCAGACAAAGCTATTTGCTCTCCTACTTTCTTAAAGTAACTCAGTTCTGTCTATCTCCTATTTTTAGTATCTAAATTAAGAATATTGCTCATAACCAGATTATATGGCATTTATTCTGAAGAGTAAGGGATACTGTTAGAGCTAAAAACTGAATATAAACACCCTGTGGATGTAAGCCATGACATTTATATACCGGATTAGTAAGTACTAAGAGGAATTTCTGATGTAGGGCATATGACCCTCCCTTCATTTCAGAGGCAATTATTTTAATACCATGATTTCAAAGTGTGACGAGCCCTGGAAAATGCTTACAGACAGGCAGCTTTACTCAAAAAGCTCTCCAATTCCCCAAAAAACAATTTCAGGTGAATCTCTGGTTTTGAGATAAGAGAACACCTGGGAGTTTGTTTGTTTCAAATAAGGATGCGAGCATATGCTGGCAGGGAGATAGGCAGACCTGAGACAAATGTCAATTTTATGCTGTATGAATCTGAGCCTCCCTGAAACAAATTGGAAAGGCTCAAGGATGGTCGATACAGACATCCTGTTTAGGCACATCTCTCGTTGTAACCAGAGTGTCTCGTGTTGCCACAGCTGAGCCATGCCATCAGTGGAGCAGCTCCTTCCTGAGGTCCTGCAATCAGCTGCAAACCACCAGCGGATTTCTGAAGCGGCCGCATCTTTTGAAGCAGCCCTTGCCTTTCACACCTTGTTGGCTATTCCTCAACACTGTTCAGGCACCTGAGCCTGGAACCTACTGCCTTGGGAAACTCAAAGGGCCAGCTTAGAGCTCTGACAGCAAAGCAAAAAACAATCATGCTCCCGCTAGTCAGATCCAGGCAGTGTAACCCAGCCTTCCACACCCAGGAAGCATCTGCACACCTGGGTCAGCCCTCCCAACCCAGGGCTGCCCTGCTGATGCCATGTGAAGGCCCACGCTGACAAGGGTCCCATGAACATCCCTTAGGCCATATGTGAGGCGGTTTCCATAAACGTCCACTCGTACCCCTCAGATCCGCCATAAGGATCACCATCTGGCACAGAAACTCTGGCAGTTTCCCCCACTGACCCTGAATCCTAGAGATAGGTTAGCCTAGATATCCTACTTCAACAAGTACAACTGTAACAAGAAGCTAAGCTGTAATGCCGGACTTGTTCATGAGGGTGTGGGGATACGAGCAGTTGGATGTGGAAGAAGTTGCAATTTCAAACTTTTAACAGTTAAAAAACTCCCTGTGTTCGCTTACGTTATTTTAGAATGGAATTTCTTGGCTATGCAAGCAAAACAGGGCAGGCAGTAATCAAGTTACTGTGGGGAACCTCATTGGCTCAGGTACCCACTGCCTCCCACTTTCCAGTGGCAGCAGTTTACTGCCTCCTCCAACTCCGACTGCTTCTTTTGTTCCACATAGAAGCCTAATGTTCCACCTTGCCCACTCTTCCCACTTTGTTCATATTTCCTTGAGTGCCAGTGATATTTGCCATCAGCCCATAATATCCAACAGCTTCTTTTTGCTGCTTGGAAACAGTTTGGAAGAAATGTGAAAACAAACAAACAAACAAACAAACAAAACACCACCATCACCACCACCAGAAAAAAAGCTTATTTTCCTGCTTGGCACAACCACAGCCCTAGAGGAGTGGGGGTGGAAAAGGAAGAAATATCTGGAGAGTTAGGTAGCTCCCTCCCTCTTTTAATTTCAAATCCCTAATCAACACATGGAGATACTGAAGTATCTCCAAGAAATTCCTTGGTGGGGGTTATCAGCAAGATCCCAGCAACTTGCTCTGGACACGTTCACAAAAGCATTCACCCCTTTGGGGCGCAATATCTCAAAAAAAGTACAAAACATACACACACACACACACACAAAATTCAACCCACCAACAAAACAGTCCAAGGCAAACGTGCAGCTCCCCACACAGATTCTTCTCCTGAGCTGTTGAAATCAAAGACGAGGGAGAGAAGTGGTCAGATAACAAAGGAAAGACACTAAGGCAACAACAGGAGCACACGCACTGCAAGTAAAGCGTGAAAGTCTGCATACCAGCTGCTCTGCTCTTCCTGGTGCAAAATTCAGATCCCAACTCAGCCCTGTGGGCTCCCAAGCAGCATGAGGGAAAAATATCCAGAATCAGAATAAGCCACGTTCAGTTCCTCAAAAAAAAAAAAAATCAGCTGACAAGTCATAAGGAATTCAGGTATCATGTGAAACAATGGATGAAATGAGAGCCCTGCAAACATGCCATGGAACAAGACAGCTCTTCTCAGAGCCAGAAGAAAGCATGCACAAATGAGGTAATGGAGGGAGTGGTCAGAGCTGCCCAGGTCACCAGCCCAGTTATCTTCAGGAGCACGCTCCACCATGTGTGATTTTAGAAGTTGGAAATAAAAACACAAACCTCCCTCCTAGCAAAGAAAAAAAAAATGCTGGCTGTGGTACCTGGATGCTGCAATCTGTTGCTGAAGATACCATCTAAGGCATCAGAATATATCTGTCCTACCTGTCCAACACAGAAAAAAAATACATGCACAGAGTTAAAGCTCAAGCCCCTAAAAGGGCTTGGCAATGTTTTGCATTCCCAGATGGCGCGTGGCTGAAGACAGTTGCATTCCTCATTGCCTTTACTAGCAAGGCATGCCTAGAATAAAGTTGCTTGAAGTTATGCAAGCCTTTCACCAGAAAGTTTATCAAACAAGGCATCTGAACCCAGCCAGAAGGCGGACAGGCAGTATCTGAGAACCTGTGGATAAGCAGCAGAAATATTCCAAAGATGAAGAAATTCTTCATGTGATTTCTGCTCTTATGCATCACGCCACTTCATCAACAAGTAGGCTATCTGTCCTCCTCAGCAGGGCTAAATTCCTCTGATGCAGCTCAGAACTCTGAAGCACTTTTCTAGATTTCATTAAAAAAAAAGAAAAATTATGGGGAAAAAAAAGGAGTTTTAATCAAATGCAAAGCAGTAGTTATCAACATTGCTGCAATTACTTACAGATCTTCTCTGAAAGAGCTGGCTGAGGTGGTTGCCAAGCCACTCTTCGTTGTATATGAAAAGTCATGGCTGTCAGGTGAGGTCCTGGATGACTGGAGGAAGGGTCACCTCACTCCCATTTACAAGAAAGGGAGCAAGGAGGACCCGGGGAACTACAGGCCGGTGAGTCTCACCTCTGTGCCTGGGAAAATCATGAAACAGATTCTCCCAGATGACATGCTTGATCACATGAGGAATGCGAGTGTGATCGGAGACAGCCAGCACAGCTTCACCAGGGGAAGGTCATGGTTAACCAATCTGGTGGCCTTTTACAATGGAGGGATGAAGGGATGCCATTCAGAAGGACTTCCACAGGCTTGAAAGGTGAGCCCAGGTGAACCTAATGAGGTTCAACACAGCAAAGTGCACAGTGTTGCACTTGGGCCAAAGGAATCCCAGGCATCCTTACATACTGCAAGGAGCAGTCCTTGAGAGCAGCCCTGCAGAAAAGGATCTGGGGGTCCTGGTGGATGAAAAACTCAGCATGAGCCAGCAGTGTGCTCTTGCAGCTCAGAAAGCAAAAGGCATCCTGGGCTCCATCAGAAGAGGGGTGGCCAGCAGGGACAGGGAGGTGATTGTCCCCCTCTACTCTGCTCTTGTGAGGCCCCATCTGGAGAACTGCGTCCAGGCCTGGATGCAAGAAAGACAGGGAGCTGTTGGAGAGGGTCCAGAGGAGAGCCACCAAGATGATCAGAGGGCTGGAGCACCTCCCCTATGAAGACAGGCTGAGGGAGCTGGGCTTGTTCAGCCTGGAGAAAAGAAGGCTGCGGGGTGACTCATTGCAGCCTTTCAGTACCTAAAGGGAGCCTACAAACAGGTGGGGAGTCAGCTCTTGGAAAGGGTAGATAATGGTAGGACAAGGGGAAGTGGTTTTAAGTTGAGGGAGGCAAGATTTAGGTTGGATGTCAGGGGGAAGTTCTTTATTATGAGAGTGGTGAGGTGCTGGAACAGGCTGCCCAGAGGGGCTGTGGATGCCCCGTCCCTGGAGGTGTTCAAGGCCAGGTTGGATGGGGCCCTGGGCAGCCTGGTCTAGCATTAAGTGTGGAGGTTGGTGGCCCTGCATGTGGCAGGGGGGTTGGAGCTTGGTGATCCTTGAGGTCCCTTCCAACCTGGGCCATTCTGTGATTCTGTAACATCCTAGAGACCACTTAGAGCCAACAATAGGAGGGTAAAAACAAGAATACTGCTGTGGCACATGATGGGAGACATAAATAAAGATAACTTCTGTGCAGTAACAGAGTTCCCATTTAGGACACCTCTCTTTTCCCATGTCAGCCTCAGCTGCCAAATAAGAGGAAAAAATACAGAAACATCAACAACTTCACTTAGTTAACAAAGGTTAGGCAAGATCATTCACGATAAACATCTCTCCCTTTTCCTTTGTTGTTGATGGGAATCAAACATGACTTTTTCCTACTTTTTTTTTTTTTTTCTTCATTTAAACAAGGAAGGTGTGGTGCTACTCCAGTAGCAGTCAGGGAGGATTTCAGGGTGATAATTTGACTCTTCTCACGGCCTAAGGTCCATTGACTTGTGGTTCATTTTCCCCTTTGTAAAATGGGGCAAATAAAAACTACTACACAATGATATAGAAATTGTTTAATTCAGAGCTGTATCATTTTGAAGATGCAAATAAAGTGCCAAGTATTATTACCAGATGACGCAGTGATAGATTCCTTCCCACAAGCTACTTAAGGAAAGAAAAAAGCCATGCAAGTAGACAGCCCTATTTCTAATGAGATGCACTACTCAGAAAGTGGGACATCTTAAAACAGATTGGACAATCTTCTTCCAGCTCAGAAAGATTATTCTCAACACATAAACTTCACAGGATTATATATTTACAAACTGAACCATATTAGTTGACCAAGTTTCTGCAGACAAAATAAGCTTGCCTAAATAAACGGGGAGAATACACATTCTCAGTCTTGAAGAAATCAAGAAGAGTTTCTCAGAAAAGTAAGAGAAGAAATGGAATTAGATTTGAAAGCTCTGTGGGGGATGAATTTTTATTTTCTGAATATAAAGCAACTGTCAGGACTGGGAAAATCAAGTAAGGAAAAAAGCAGTCGGGGAAAAGCAGGGAAAGGCTCTGTGCAGCAGAGAGGTCACATGTGAGATAAACAGGGCAGTAAGCTAATGTGTGCAGATAAACACAGCTCCCTTTCTCTCCGTACAGACTTTTATGTGTATTACAGAGCTGCCTTCAGCACTGTGGGTGAACATAATGTGAAGCTATGTTAACGTTACCCAAACCACATTGCATAAAACATCAGAGCAAAAGCACAGGGATACGCATACTGCTTTCTGTAAGCTGCAATATTCCCTCTTGGAAGAAAGGGATGGAAAAAACCCGAACATAAAAACCCTGCCCCTTTCCCCCCCACTGCATGCCAAGGGTGACACACTTCTTCCCCTCTGGCCCAAAGTTCATTTCTCCTACGAATGCTTTAAAGGGAGGTGCCATTCACACAAGAGAAATGTTAACTCAAAAATAAACGAGCAGATTCATGGCTTTAACCTTTCTTGAATCCAGCAGTGAATCACAACAAAAAAACGACCTTCACCAGCAACCCTATGTCATTCAATGCCCTGGCACTGCTTGGGCAGCACAATGGGGTTGAACAAGGCTGAATTTGAGGAGAGGGCATCTTCTCCTGCCAATGAGGAGCTTCATCTTGCATTGCACGCTTGATGACACGGTGGTCCCAGGTAACACACTGACACACAAGTGACACCCCTACCCAAACATGCTGCAGCTGTCCCCATGTTGTGCCTTGCCCCAATGTCTGGCCACGATCAACCTCAAGCCCTAGGCAAGCACACCCCAACTCCTTGCCTTCCCACCCCAGCCATGGCCAGTGCCACACCTCCCATAAGCATGCAGAGGAAACACTCGGCACTATTTTGAGCATATCTGAGTTTAGCACAAGTACTAAAAGCCCAAGAAAAGCTGCACGGAGGCTGTACCCACAGGATAAGCCACAGGCACTAATAAATGCAATGATGAGATGTACACATAGGGCAACGGGAAGCCCTCGCACTCATGTGCCCAAATGGGAGCAGCAGACAGCAGCTCGTAACATAGCCCAGTGCTGAGTCAGAGGCAGGGACTTCTGGCCATCACACTAGGAGAGGCTTTTATTTACTTATTTGATGGTGAAAGCAAGTAGCAGAAGGAGAAATCACTTCCAGCCTTCCGGACAGACTGGTGAGGGAAACAGGACTAACTGAAGCAGAAAGTCTCCAAACAGCAGAGATACACTGGCACTCAGGCTGTGGGAACAGAGAGAGAATCCAGCACCCACAGGTGCCAACTAGGAGGGATCCGAGCACACACTTCCTCCCAGAGCAATGTGGAAGAGAAGGCAGATTTAGCTCCCAGTGCTTCTGCCTATTCCTAGGGAAGGAAAAGCAGCAACATCTGGAAAGCAAGGATCCGGAGATTTTCAATGAAGGCAAGACATTCGCACAGTCATGCCAGCAGACTGAAAATCCCCAAACACACATCCAGCAGAAAGTGGAGGCCAGCCAACATCAGACTTTCAGTGACGTTTTTATAGTCATGACCCATTCAAATCCAGCTGGAGTGCCTGGCCAGCTGGAATGTAATCCCACAGCTCTGATACGCAGTAAAACTGAAGAAATGGGACCCACATAGGAGGACAATAGGTGATAACTGCTCTTGGAGCCAGCAGGCCACTGATTAAGAGTGTGGGGAATAAAAGCTTTTGGGGTCAGACTTCAGGGTTCCTGACAAACAAAGAGCATCACTAGCTTCTTTCCAGGCCCCTGGGCAGCCTATGGATCCCACAGAGAGTTCACACATAGTGATTTAGAGTGGGAAGGGTTGGAGGCCCAAAAAGAGGCACTCCAAGGACTGTAGCAGGGGGAAGGAAAGGAAGAGAAGGGAAATAGCATCTTGAACAAGACACAGCCCCATCTCCAGCAGGCCTGGGGATGCAGGATGGCACTGTGGAGCAGCAATGACCAAAGCCAGCTTTGGAGCTTGATCACACCAGCAGTCCTAGGCAGCAGACGGGCACTTTCTGCTCTCTCCAAAGAGAGAGTAAATCTCTGGGGACACGGCAAGTAAATCCATGGGGCACAGGCTGTTAAAAACAGCAGTCATCACTGACAGTCTCAGCCCCATGAGTGTGAGGCACACCATTGTGCGTAGGTAAATGGGAGGGCTGCACAGCAACAAAAAACAACAGAAAGCACACACAAAAAAAGGTCCCAGCTGGAGTGGGGAGAGCGGGGAGCAGCCTGATGAAGCAGTTACAGCGCAAAGATAGCAGTTGAGAAGAAGCACAACAGGGCTGTAAAGCAGAAGCTGATATAGCTATAGTAAGGGGTTGGTGCATCCCAGTCATGGCATGCAAAGCTGAGGTGCAGGTGCAGCAACTCAACCCAGCTCTCCAAGCAAAGAGCCTGCTGGAATTTAGAAGCCTCAAGTCCTTCACATGCCTTCACATGCCAGATGATACCACGATATCCAAAACTAAGCAGATAGGAGATAACCATCCCCAAAACAAGACTGGCAGCTCTGATATGCACTGCACTACTTGGATCAAATCAGTCTAGACCAAATGCAAAATGCCACACCTTGAAGTCTACTAAACTGGGCTATTTCCAACATCTAATGCAACAGATAGTCTATTCTGTCAAGAGCGGTTTTCACATAAACTTAAACTTGCCCCAGTGATCTGAAAGCCCTGGGCAGTTTCTCTACACGTTGCCACAGACCTGTCGAGTTAAATTAACTGCAGACACACAGCACTGCCACACCACAGAGGCGTGACAAGTGCAGCGAGGCCCATCCTGAAGCACTGGCACCATTTTTTGAGTCCACAGTGTGCCACAAGAATGGCTCCAGCGGTCATTTCCTTTTTATCTCCTGGATCACCAAAATACACTCAATTATACTGCCACAGTCCGTACGTTAACTCCTAAGCCTCTGTCTTTAAAATGCAGAAAGCCTCCCTCAACTTGAACAGCAGTTCAGAATGTATAAGGGATGGCTACCTTTTCAAAGACGTCAAATAAAAGGGTTTTCACACAAGCAGACGCAGCATGATGTTCATCTACAGCTCCTGCAGGAAGCTGTAATGCACTGTAATTTTACCAATGTTTGAACTAAAAGCCTAAAGGAGCTGTTGTGTAAGGTATCAAGCAAAAACCAGAGGATATGTTGACATCAATGGCGAGGAGTAAGCTGTTGGCTTAGGTTACTCACCCAGGGGAGCAACCTCAATGCTGATATCCGCTGTTACGCTTGAGCCAATTCCACTGATCCATATAAGCTTCTGACACTGGAAAGAGAGAAAGAAGGAATTTAGTTAATTGCTACAAAGTCTGAGGAGGCTTAAAGTGAAATCTTGTAAAAGTTTATGATGAAGTGACGTGGGATACAGGAAGCACAGCGGATGACGTACGTAACAGCATTTAAAAAAACAACAACAACAAAAAATGTGCCAAGAGATTAAAGGATGACAGTTGATGTACAAATAAGAAATGAGCTTACTTATTCCTAACAATTCCCAGCAACATCCTTGCTCAGTAATTTCTGCATTAAGTGGCCAGGTTTGTGCCTGCCTCCACCTCCCAGCAGATCACAACTACACAACACAAAGCAAGGAAGGCGAATGACAACTTGAAAAGACTCCTTCTTACTACTGTGACCTGCAGAAGTGCCAGCCCAGCGCCCCACGGAGCGAAACCACCAGAGCTCTGAGTGTGAAGAGAAGCCAGTGAAGGTCAGAGCAGAACAGGGCACTGAAACAATCCTACAGCTCTTTCCCATCATCACAGATGATAGTCCCATCTAAAGATTTCGGTCAAAATAAATGCTATTTGGTGCAGGAAGCTTGACAAAATTTTTCTGGTATAAAGTTCTGCATGAACTTCAGAAATGCTGGAGGAAGTCTGGGAATAAAACTCAGGAAAGGTTAAAGAATTCCAAGCCTAAGCAATTACACAAGCCTCCATTAAGATATAAAAATCTAACTCCCATATGAGTGCTCAGTTGAAATACATCCGGTAGGACTGAAGCAACGAGGAATGCTGCTGAAAGGTATTGTGCATCACTCTGCAGGAAGGTCAGTAACCTTCTAGTTATGATCTCGGTGTACCACTGGGATGCTGCCCTGGCAGGCTGAGACACTGCTCATGGAACAACAGTTGTGCCAAGAGCAAGAGCAGATACTGGCAAGCTGAGAGAAGCTCAGACAAGCAAGCAACATCATCAGAATGCAAACACTTGCCTCAGAAATATTAAGTGCTAAAGAAACAGACTATCTAGTTGATCTGAGACAACAAACACTGATTGCAAATATCCAGAAAGTGTGAGCTAAAACAGAGAGAATTCAGCTGACTTACGGCATGTGGTAATAGGACACAAAAACAAAAATGCAATCTCAGGTCTAAATATTAAAAATGTAAAATAGATTGTCTTGGAGCATACAAAGGATGTTGAAGGGAGGTTGTGGAGAGGTAGGATTCGGTCTCCTCTCCCATGTAATTAGAGATAGGACTAGAAGGAACAGCCTCAAGTTGTGCCAGGGGAGATTCAGGCTGGACATGAGGAAACACGTTTCTCCAAGAGTGGTCAGGCACTGGAATGGGCTGCTCAGGGACGTGGTGGACTCACTGACCCTGGAGGTGTTCAAGGGATGTTTAGACATCGTGTTGAGGGACATGGTTTAGTGGGAAATACTGGTGGGTAGGTAGACAGGTTGGACTGGATGATCTTGGAGGTCTTTTCCTACCTTCGTCATTCTATGATTCTAAATGGCTCATTGCTTCTCAGAACAGTTCCTTTTTTTTTTTTTAAACAGACTGGGAAAAACACCAGGAAAAAAAACCAACGTACACAGACCATGAAGGACAGAGATATATAAGTCTCTGCTAGAAGACTGTCACAGGACCAAGGTTTCAGGCTATTGCAACAGAATAATTATGCCCTGTGCAACACAGGAAGAAAAAAAACATCTGTCAGATGGAAAAAGAGACAAAACATGGTAGGCGGGGAAAGAAAAATATTTGAGGTTTCTATAAAGGGTACTGCAGAATGTCATGTAGAAGCTTACAAAGCTAGAGAAAAAAGTTATATTAATGGTGTTACTGCAAGTCTGCTTAAAGTAATACCATGTACAGAAACTAAACATCTATCATTAAATGGAGCTTCTCCTCTTCACTCCCAATGTTCAGCTCCAGCTAAGTCACTCGAGGCTCACAGTTATGAAGGACCTTTGGGATTCTCAGGCTGCAAGGACCCAAAAGGAGCAGTAGAGTAGAAGGGAAAGACCCAATCTCTTCCATCACAGAAGGGCTCTGAAGTACAAGGGAGCCCCAGACATCTCTCAGCCCAAAGCTCCCTCACTCTTCTGCCAGGTCTCCCTCCCTTCAATTTTGGGCTGATCTGCTCTTCTCAGCCTGGAGTGCTGGCTTCAAGGCTTCAGCAGCTCATCCTGATCCTCATGACCACGACTATTTTGGTAAATCAAAGATGCTCTTTGTTCTTGTGGTTTGTCAGAAAGTTTTAGTCATTTCCTCCTGAGCAGAGTCAGAGCTACACAGACCCAGCCCACACCTCCAGCAAGCAGCATAGGCACTGGCTACCTAATGAGAAAGGGAAAACCAGGCAAACCTTTCTCAGAAGTGAATTAACCACCTTATAAACTACATGGATAACTGTTCCAGAAGGATTCAGTTTGCTTCTAAATCTACTAGGAAAAGTGACTGACACAATACCATTTGTAGCTTCCCTAGTTTTGCAGCCTAGATTCAAATCTCAGTTCTCCCAGGCAGAGTTCACTACAAGTTCAGCATGAAAAACAACTGCCGAGAAAAGCCCATACATAATCAAGAGCTGATTTTTAGGAGCACTATTTACTAACTGCAGGACGAGGCACAACAGGTGAAACAAAAGGCCATCAGACGCTCATGCAGAGACCAGTGCAAAATATAGCTGCCCTGGAGGAACTTTGCAGTATCGCCAAGAAGAGACAGTATTGCAAGACAAACATAAACAAAGGCAAAACAAAAGACAGGCACAAAACACTACATTTTTCTGTCCTTATCAAACTGTAATCTCTTAACCAGGAAGAAAACACAAATCGTAACCCTGCAATCTTCCATGTTCCACAGCAATGTTTTACCTTGCCAATCAAAGGTTTTCTCCAACAGCTACACATTTCTTTTTTGAATTATGGAAACAAAATTGCATGCAATTACTTGCTGTTTGGATTTGAAAGAGACACAACTCCATTCTTGAATACATGAAATATTCACAAGTTGCAATGTATTTAGTGCTACTGCTTTTCTCTTAGTACATGGCCCTGATTCCTTTTTTTGTACCTACTGGAGCTGCGGTTCAGGAATGTTCTTGGAGGAATCCAATCCAGTGCACTACAAGGAAATAATCTGATTTCCTTCTGCTCTTTGCTAGATATAAATAAAGATCAGTTTTCCCTAAACATTTCTGACCGAGAAAAGAAGGGCTTTGAGCTACAAGATCTGAAAGAACATCACTCTTCTACTCAAAATGCCTCTGTGACGTGGGACCCAAGCAATCACAGCACAATTCAAATTACTCTTCCTTCCCACACACTTGCTTCATGTCTGGGTGTTTGTGTATAAATTAAAAAGCCACTATGACATCCTTCCTACATTTTAAGGAAAACCATGTGACATCTTCTGCAGGCAGCAGAACTCAAGGCAGCTTGCATTTCATTACTTCCCACCACCCCCTCACACCCCCGAGCACTTCACGAGCTGAACTTCCTACACGCGGAAGCCTGAATTGAACACAGAGACCAGCCTTGCTCAGGACAACAAGGCTTTGTGCCTGCTGCCTGCTTGGACCACTTGAGGATGAATGTGGTCAACATGAGGTAGCAACTTCAGTTATCTGGGCTACAGCCAGGGCTCTCTCAGCATCAAGAAATCAGACAAACAAAGCACACAGGGGGGATGGATTTGACATCAGCCAGGCCACACAGCTCATCCTGAAGCAGGGGACAGTGTAAAACAAGGTGGCCAAAGTTTCACAGACAGGGAGCATTCTTTAAATCCACTGGGGATATTCAAACTTTCAGCCCTTCAACGAGAGAGGGCATCATTTGTAATACACTGCACTCCCAACCTGAAGCAGCACAGCAGCTTCTTCGGGAAACCTCTGACAACAGCTGAGGCTTCCCCAGTTGTAAGCAGCTCTGTACACATCCTAACCTCTTGGCCCTTCAGAGTGAGGTTGAGAAAGTTTCCGATTTCTCACTTGGATCTCTCCAGCGAGCCAGTCCTCTCTGCAGCAAGTCTGCCACAAGAGGTGCCAAGAAGCAGCCTCCTTGGCCCATCCTGTCTTACACACACACCTCTGGGCAAGAAAGCTCAACTGAGTGCTCTGCTTCCTTCAGTCTGCAAGGAGAGCCTGACCATCCAGATGCAGCCAGGACATCTTCATGAGAGCCCAGAGGCACGTGCAGCAGCTTGGCCAAGCTGTAGCTCCACTTGGGCTCGCAAAGCAGCCAGCAGCTCCTGTGCAGGCATAGCTCCTTCGTGTCCAGACCTGCATGAAAGCTTCTGCAGCCTGATTCTTTGGCTTCCAACAGACCTGAATACATTACAAGTTACTTCTGCAGAACTTTCAGATTTCCCTAGAGTAATACTTAGCTTACACTGAGTATAAACTCTTACACTGAGAAGATTCTTTCTTGAGAAACATGTTTGGTTCTTGTGAACTCTGTCATTACTCCATGCCAACAGACCATTTTTCCTTTTTTTTCTCTTTAATGAATGAATCAATGTTACTATGCATAACTTGTCTCAAAACTTTATGAAGAAATATTAACAAATATATTAATTAATTTCTTAGGAAGTCACCAGTGCAAGATACTTGCATCCAGTCACCTTGCCTTGGTAAGGTGGATGGGGGACCTGAAGTCACGTAGCAAAACAATGAAGAAACACAGTTTGAATGATTTGGGAACCCACTGATTTTCCAGGGGTTAGTCATTGATGCACTTTGTTCAGCCTGGAGAAGGGGACACTGTGGGGAGACCTCATCACAGCCTACAGCTTCCTCATGAGCAGAAGCAGAAGGGCAGGAGCTTCTGGTGACCAGCAACAGAACCCAAGGGATGACACAAGGTTCTGACAGGGTAGGTTTGGGGTTGGATACTGGGAAGGGGTTCCTTAGCAAGCGGGTGGTTAGGCACTGGAATGGGCTCCCCAGGGAAGCAGTCACAGCACTGAGCTTGCTAGAGTTCATTAAGTGTCTGGACAACGCTCTCAGATGCATGGTCTGATTTTT